AGAATACATGTGAATGCACGTTGATCTGTCTTGAGTGCGCCATAATGCTAATACTAGCATGGAGATCTATTAGTTATCTTTGTTATACTTGTATCTTTGTTGTTTGATTGTTTTGTTTTGGAGATCTTACGCTAGTCTCACCATGATAGGTTGCTTCTGAGATGCATTATCAGTTCAGAGCTGGCATTAAGGTGAGTGGAATTGAACAGTGTGAATGGTAAATTATTTGACCCTTGCTTGCATCTGGAACTCAATAATGTTTCTTGTTCTGCAGACTATTGCGATTATTCCTGTCCTACCACGCGGCGTGCTACAATTAGGCTCTACTGGTGTGGTATGATATCCAAACTTCAAATGCATGCTAGAAGTGTAGAGAAATCGTGTTCCCTATATCATATTATAGGATAAATGCTCAGTCTGTCTGAAGTTTTTAATTGTTTCGAGTTAGCTGTGTGGTATAACATACTAACATCAGTATGTCACGCTGTTGACTATGGTAGAACATCTCATATCTAGATCTCTTTTGAAAGAATATAACCATCGCATCATGCTAAATATTGTACTCCTGCGCCGGATAGTATTGGAGTTTTAAATAACAATGATGCCTGGAATTTTTTACGTGCCATCAGAATGCAAACTCATGGCTTCCTTTTATGTATGCTGCTAAAGGGTGGCTAGAACATACCTCTATATGTTCATCAGTGGTGCAATCAGAATGTTCTCTGTTGCAATGGAATAACTAGAAATGTTGACATGTAATCAGTTTTTCCATTATAGTACATGTCTTTTATCAAATGGTTGGGTTTCATCATGGTATCTCAGTTCATCACTTTGGCTTCGCTAGAATTTGTATTCTCCATATATTTGAGTTAATAACCTATCATTTCTGGATTCCGCAGGTTGTGGAGAACACAAGTTTTGTGATGCATGCAAAGAAATTGTGCTCTCAGCTGAACCAGCGATCAAGTATGGCTGCATCTGCTTCAGTAAAAAGTACTTCGAATCAGTCGCGTCCTCTGCATGGTGCCTCAAACATCCAAGCCGCAGACAATTCCTTCAGTCAATTCCCAGTGATGCGTGAACAATACAGACGCTCTGATAGCGCAACTGCGTCAAGTAGCAAATCACTAAATGCATCTTTGTTTGAGGCTGCACAACAGAATGGTCTAACTGGTAGAGAGCATATTGTCTATGGCAAGCCTAACGATATGTTTTTACAACAAGCGTCTTATTGTGATAGTCGACTTGGAAGTAATACACTGAGTGCTGCAATAAGTTCTGATTTGGTCCCATCAAGCTTGGCATCAGTGGAGCAACAGCAAATGCTGATGAACACCATTGGACAGTTAGAATTTGGTAGCGGTGCAGATTTGGCAAGGAGTGCACTGCTAAAATCGCTTTTATACCGAAATCCTTTTATGCATGAAACTAGTGACATGAAGCTGTCACATGGAAGAGTTGGCCTATCCCAAGGGACTACTGGTCATGGGAGTTATGGTTTCCTCCCTGGAAGTGCCGGAGTAGTCAGTACTACCTTATGTACATCAAGTCAAGTATCAGAACAAGGAAGCCATTCCAGTTCAGGAATGTTACGGCAGAAGCAACCTCCAGTTTCTTGTAATGTTCCCCAATCTTCTGAATTCACCATGAAAATGGTGCGCCAAGAAAGGTCATCTGAAAGTGCTCTACCTGTATCTTCTCAATCTGATGCTCAGGTTTCTAATTGCTTGAATGGCATTTCCCAAGAGAATCTATTGAGTAGGTCAGGTCATATGCAGAAAGATCAAAATGCAAATAGAGCAAATGATACACGTGTTGCTGTGAGCACACAAGGTGTGAAGAATGTGGATGGTTGCATGTTGCCAGCTATGCCCAGTGAGACAGCTCACTCATTGCTTTTGCAGCCAACATGGGATAATGACTTATTTGATATATTTGGTTCTGAATTTCATCAGTTGGGTCATAACGTGGATGCTAATTTGGTGTCCTCCTGTGATGCAAAATCTCATAGCTTAGACAGAGATGCAGCTGAACCCTCGATTTGTCTTGATTCTTCTTCACTCTTCAGTTCACTAGACAATGACTTCCCCTGTTCCGGGATCTTCTCACTAACTGATACTGATCAATTACTGGATGCTGTCATCTCAAATGTCAACCCCAGCAGTAAGCAGAGTTCTGATGACAATGCTTCTTGCAAGACTGCATTGACTGACATTCCAAACATTTCTCATTTTGGTTTGGAAGAGTTAAAGCAATGTGACTCCTCTGGCATTCCTTCAACGGTAATCAAGAATGAGTCCACACAGATTGTTAGACAACCATATTACTTTGATAAGACTGAAGATGGTTGTCTTTCCCAAAATAATGGAGCACAGAAATCCCAGATACGTCTTTGGATTGAGAATGGTCAGAACATGAAATGTGAAAGTGCATCAGCTTCTAACAGCAAAGGCCTTGATACACAAAGCAAGTCAAATCGAAAGAGATCTCGACCTGGAGAGAGTTCTAAGGCACGGCCAAAGGATCGACAGCTGATACAGGATCGTATAAAGGAGCTCCGAGAAATGGTGCCTAATGGAGCTAAGGTATCCTCTTGTAGACCTGCTGATTTTAATCTATTATGAAAATTTGTACTTTGCACACGTGAACTCCAGAGCAGTTGCATTGTTGTCATATCAATGTTATCTCATTTGTGTCAGCAGTGCAGCATTGATGCTTTGTTGGAGAAGACAGTTAAGCACATGCTCTTCTTGCAAAGCGTTACAAAGCATGCAGACAAGCTCAAGGATTCTACTGAATCTAAGGTATGCACATGCCTATACGTTTTATTGTTTGGTTATATAGAAAGAAAGCTGGTTTGTTGTGGTTGAGCTGCACAGTTTGTAACTCGTTAGATTGAAAGATGTCCTTATGTTGTCGAGTATTCATACAGATACTTGGCAGTGAGAATGGTCCTGTATGGAAAGACTACTTTGAAGGTGGTGCAACCTGGGCCTTTGATGTTGGCTCTCAGTCTATGACATGTCCAATCATCGTTGAGGATCTTGACAGACCACGTCAGATGCTTGTGGAGGTAATGGTTCAAGATGCTGCTGTTGCTTGTTTTTTGCAGTCTCATTGTTTACCAACAATCGCATGTAGATGTCGTTTAGATGTGTTGACATCATGTGGTTTCCTGCAGATGATTTGTGAGGATAGAGGCATCTTCTTGGAGATAGCTGATTTCATCAAAGGACTTGGATTGACCATCCTGAGGGGTGTAATGGAAGCACGTAAAAGTAAAATTTGGGCCCGCTTTACTGTTGAGGTAATATAGTTAAATTCTGAAAAAGGGTCATCACATCATTAGAGCTATAGAATGCTGCTGCTGATTTTTGTAGTGGCACCTGTTGAATGGATTTCTATCGCTATAAATCCTTGCTTATGTTTTAACTTGCTGGTTGGAGTCGACGAATAACACTGATCGTGTATGTTCAATTGTTCAATGTTCATACAGGCAAACAGGGACGTTACCAGAATGGAGATCTTTCTCTCGCTTGTACGGTTATTGGAACCCAACTGTGATGGCAGCGGAGCAGTAGAGAATCCCAACAGTGTAAACATGCCTCTTGGTTTGGTTCGCCAACCTGTCATCCCGGCAACAGGTGGTATCCAGTGACAACTAGAGAGAGCCCTCAGCCTCAAGCCAATCAACATTTAAGTGCTAAGAGCAGCAGTTCAGCGTGGGACCAGAGTTAAAACACTTCAGATTCTGCATCTGCGCACTTTTGCCATGACTAGCATTGCCAGTTTGCCAATGCGCCACTTGCTTTCCGGTGGCGCCTTGCTGCGCAAATGTGCACCTTCATCTCCCTGAGTCGCAGAAAGTCTTAACGTGAGATGCATCGAAGACGGGAACATTGATTCAGCTAATGATCAATTAGGCAGTGCTATTGCTTGTACAATCTTAGTTTTGCTTGTTACTTTTGCCGTATATTAGTGGATTTTGTACCGAACGGAGATTCCTTAGTTGATTTGTGTAGCGTTGATAACTGGAAAGCCATCCCTTTGTAAGTCTTCGTTGAACTAGAAATAGAACTGTTAGCATGTGATCCAGTGGTTCCTTGCAGTGACCTGGGAGGAGCTACATTTTGCTGTGTGATCAGATTTCTATGACACTAGATGTTTGTTGTCTATCAACATTTTTGGGGTTGATGTGCTGTCCAGCAATTCTCCAATGACATCTCTACTGGTGGAACACCAGACTTGGTATGATTGTTCCTTTTATTACCTTCTGCCATCATCTTATCTTGTTCATGAGTCATGACCAAGAAGGTAAACACCTTCATTATCTGATACCTGTTTTGTGCATCGCAATAATGCAGTCTGGTTATCCTCCTTTTCTAAAAAAAGAAAAGAAATATGGCACAACAATATTTTTCCTGCAAGAAATGAACTGTTTTCTGTAGAAGAGAAAGAAAATCACATGAACATGGTACAACAATGAGTTTTGGTTGCTAAAGGTAGCAAGATATGCCATCTCATGCATCTGTTCTCTTCGTCCATGGAACTGGAACACAAGTAGTGAAGAGGAGTACTACAATAACTACATTACATTACAGTACAGTATCCAAAAACAATACTCAAATCTCCAATAAACCAACTATACCGCATACACTTCCAAGATCCCCAATTCCAATGTTTTACATATATATACCCCTTCACGTATCGTATACCCCCCATCCCCCTATTGCCCTATAAAATCTTGTAACCGGAAATGTTTGGGTTTTAACTACCTTAGCTAACCTATAGTAACTATATACAATGTCCCCATCTTTACATAATTACACCCCCAATGACCTAGAGAGGCTTAGGATTAATGGCAGCCTAACCATGCCTAGGCGTTTACCCTTTTATTTCTATACAAGCCCTAAATTGTTTGATTAATCGATTTTTTTGGGATTTCATTAATGGATTGCGCTATGTAATAGTAGTGGTATACCATGCATGATGCATTCATACTATGCCACGAAGTCTCTCATGAGCTGAGCCGCGAAGGACTTGGTGGTCTGCATGTTCATGTCGTAGCCGGCGGCGCCGCTGCCGCCGCTGTCGGCGCCGTTGCTGCTGCCGCCGCCCATGAGGAACGCCGTCTGGTCGCCGGCGCCGTGGGGGAGGCCGAGCGTGAGCGAGACGCCGCCGTGCTGCCCGGCCCCGGCGAACGCGAACGACTGGTCGGCGCCGAACTGCCCGTACGGCCCCGGCGCGAACAGGGAGTACCCGCCGCCGGCCCCGTCCTCGTCCTGTTGGTGGTGGTGGTGGTCCCTCGCGCCCGCCGCGCCGCCGCTCTCCATGAACTTCATGAGCAGCTCCCGGTGGCTCACCTCGTCGTGCTGCTGCCTCGCTGCGGCGGCCGCGGCCGCCGCGGCCGCCTGCGCGTGGTGCAACGCGCCGAAGTCGAACGCCGCCGGCGGTTGCTGCTCGAGGCCGGCCGCCCTCGCCTTCTTGAAGCCGCGCCGCAACCCGCCATCCTCACCCTCCTCGTCGTAGAACCCCGCGTGCGCCTGGTGGTCTCCGGCGAGCTCGAGCAAGGACGCCTGGACGGTGCCGCCGCCCTCCGACGTCCCGGCCCCAGCCGCCGCTCTGGCCATGGACCTCGGAGTGCCGTCGTCCACGCCGTCAGCGTTGCTGCTGCTCTTTCCTCCGGCGGGGCCGGACCCGGACGGCCTCCCCTTGTCGTCGCCGCCGTCCTGCTGCTGCTGATGCTCCTTGGTCTCCTCCAGGTACATCTCCTCCACCATCGGCTTCCACAGCCTCACCCTCGCGTTGATGAACCAGTTCGACACCTGATAATGGTTTTGCAAAAACTCTCACGGATCAAACCAAAGCCGCGGTAACAGTAAAAAATAACAACATACTATATGTTGTAACTGGATCAAACTGAAGAAGGATGGTTGAGATTTTTTGTACCTGGCTCCTGGTGAGGCCGGTCTGCTTGGCGAGCATGATCTTGTCCGAATCCTTGGGGTATCTGCATGATGAGAGGGCGATCCGATCAACCAACGGGAGTGCGACACGAGGGCGCCGAGTACGTACGTACCCGCCGGTTTTGGGCGCGCACGTACGTACGCACGTACGAATGGAGGTGCCATGCGTGCATGTTTGCATGCAAAACGCATCATGAGCATTGTGTGTGTGCCGTGTATCTCGTGCTATGTCTATGTCTCTCATGCAAGTACCGCATCATCATTTCTCACTCTATCTGTACCACGTCAGTGACAGAGAGAGAAATGCATTTTTAATTACTCTCTCCGTTTCCAAATACTTGTCTTTCTAGTCATTTCAAATGATTACAACATACGGATATATGAAGTCATATTTTAGAGTATAGGCTCACTCATTTTACTTCGTATGTAGTTATTTGTTGAAATATCTAGAAAAACAAATATTTGAAAGCAGAGGGAGTACTACTGTAGTTCAATTATCGATGGAGTTCACCTGTACAATACACCTAGCTCCCCACAAAAAAAGAAAGAAAAAAACAATACACCTAGCTAGGTTGCACGTACGTTCATTATGCATGATGCAAAACCAACCTTATAATCCGAAACAATTCAAGCACTGCACAGCTGCATGCATGCATGGGAACAAAAAAAATGGCGCTAAAGTCATCGAAGTACGTAAGTAGTACGTAGTACAAGAGGAGAGCATGTGTGAAGCACTTACGGGTGGAGGAAGTGCTCGAAGAGCCATGCACGGAGGATGGAGACGGAGCGCTCGGGGAGGCCCCGCTGCGGGCGCCACGCGCTGCTCTGCATCATTCCCAGCTGCTGCAGCGCGCGCTGCTGCCGGAGCTGGTGGTCGATGTACCGGAGCCGGGACCCGACGCCGCGACCGCCGCCGAGCCCGCCGCCGAGCCCCTCGGCGTCGCAGTCCTCGCCCAGGGCGCGGCTGGCGGCGCGCACCTGGGAGGCGATGGCGTCGCGGAGGCAGCGGAACTGCCGCGAGATGGTGCGCAGCGCCAGCGCCGTGTACGTCCGCGCCGACCCGGCGCCGGCCACTGCCTCGAACGACGACGACACCGACGCCATCTGCTGGTGGTACTGCCGGTACCGCTGCTCCACCTGATCATGCCATGCCATCGCCAGCCACATTAGATCCCAGTACAGAGATTAGCTCGTGTACTAATTAGTGGGTTGATTACTAGTGTTAACCACCACAACCACTCTCTAGTACAGTACTACTTTGGATTGTGTTTATCATAAACACGATTGATTGTCTTGTCAGACTGAGAGAATCAAGTGGATTTTATCAAAAGCATGCTACACTGCATTTCTTATTTATATGGAGAAAACACAAACTAAAGCTCCCTAAAAAGAATTAGAAGAAGAAAAACTCAAAGCATGAGGGAAAGCCGGGCTGCCAAACTGGCTTTGCTGGCTTGTGAAGAAGCTAGCACCAGCCAGGACAAGCAGGGCCTATCTACCTTCTGTACTGATAGCATATGTTTGTAGTATTAATTAAGCTATTGAGAGAATACAAAAAGAGACACATATTTGATCAGGCAACAAAGTTAAAGGTGGCTTGTACGTACTGGCCTCAACAAACAACACCATGAAAGAATTGTAATTTATAGGTGCATGAGTGCTTTTTCTTATCTCAAAGTATTAGTTAATATTATCACCAAGATATATACTTAGCCACTAGCTAGCTAGCTAGCTTGTTACTTAATTTCTTCTCTAGAAGAAAATAGAAGACTATAGCCACTTGTTGGTTTTAAAGACTGGCTAGACTTGTCACTTTTATAATCTCTATCACACATAATTTCCGTTTATTTAATTACTACCACAGCTGATTTGTAAATTTCTAAATTAATAATAGCTGCCCGTTAATTAACTGTAGCTGTAATTCTGCTTTCTAATTAAAAGACAATACTGGACGGTGTTTATCAAAAAAAATCCGAAGAGAATATATAGTTGGTGCAAGCTGACAAAACAGGTGTAATTAATTTAGAAAAGGAAAAAGGGAGGAGGAATATCCAGCAAATCAAAGGCCTGCTTGGCTACCCCAACAACTGTGTGTCACTCACTTCAGAAAAAGAAGCAACAAAACAAACATAGCTGAAAAGCAAATGGCCCATATACTTTCAATAACACTTTCTCGAATTATAGAGGCAAGGAAATATCAGAAACATCATCAATCTAACACTGCCGTATTCAGAGGGCAATGTTGAATGTTCAGACACTACCAAAATCGCCAGGTTTATTTGTCAAATATGCCTTGTTTTCCAGAGGAAAAAAAATCAACAATTCCTAAGCAGCAATTGGTGATATGATCAGGAAAAAACGAGAGATTAATTCTCTATGAAATCATCGGTAAAAATATATTTGTATAAAGCAGGACATTTCTTAACATTAAAAGTTAGAATCAAAAGTAGTAATTCATTAAAGTGTACGTAGGTTAATTACTGACCTCGTCAAGCATGTTAACCAGTTTGCCTTTCTTCATCTGCAGCTCCTGCCGCTCCGCCGTCGACATCTCGGGCGCTGGCGCGCCGCCCTTGGCCCCGCTGGCGCCTTCCTCCCCGCCGCCGCCGGAAAGGCCTTCCGAATCCTCCTTCTTCTTGACCGACGCAGCGCTCTTCGCCTTGGTGTCCACGTCGTCCACGCCCTTGCTCACACTCACCACCTCGTCGAGCAGCTCCTGCGCCGCCCTGAGGTATTTGGAGTTCATCACCACCTGCCCCTGCGACGCCGCGGTCGACGCCCCAAGGTGGTACCTCCCTTCGTCGCCGGCGATGGAGGCCACCGTGACCGGCGGCGTCTCGCGGGACGACAGGCTGAGCACGGCACTCACGCCATGAGCCTGCTGCGTCGGCGGCGACATGACGTCGGCGATGCCTGTTGTGGCCGGGGTCCACAGGTTGTAGCCCGAGGGGGGCGCCTGGAGAGGGATGCCGACGAAGTGCTGCCCCGGCGGTGGCGACGCCTGGTGGCCGCCGAAGGACGCCGGGGTCATGGAGCTCACCGCTGAGTTGAGGAGCATCATGTTGGCCCCGGAGGGCCCGGCGTCCCCGTAGCTGCCGTTGCCGTAGCTTGGGTTCATGAGGTACAGTGTTTGCAGGCCGTCGCTGCCGGCCTGATGGATGTCCGTGCCGGCGCCGCCGTGGTAGTACGCTGCCATCGTGATCGCCGGCACCTATGTAGACCGGTCGATGGCAAAATCCTTGCTATGTCCGTATGTGCACTTGTGCACTAACTGAAATTCTTCTTGAAATAAATCTCCCCCCTCTCTCTCTCTTCAATTATATATCTTCTTCAGTGCAGCTTGTTGTGGCTTTGACCTGTCAAAAAGAAGTGCCAAGAACTTAAGAACACATATATATAACAAGATGAAAAAAAAACAGGGCAGTGATTTAAAATTTTCGGATGATTTG